GCATCCACTGGGAATATCCTGGGTGAAAAGACTCACCGAACAAGACAGCAAGCACCCAAACCTCCCCTCGGTGCTGGCCGGTACGGCACGAAGGGCAGGGGACACCCAGCGGTACGTGCACGGGCGGCGACGGCGCAGGAGCGACCGATGCGACCTACCACTTCGGTAGCCACAACACAAGAGGGAAATAAAATAAAAAAAACCCCCAACCAAAGTGGTTTTTTGCCTCCTGTTTTTCACAGCTGGGTCTGAAGGACCCAAGGTCATGGCTTTCCCCTATCAGCCGGTGCTCGGAGCGTGCCAGCAGCCCCTCACAGCAGCCCCGGCCATGCAGAGCCGTCCCCGCCTGGAAAAGCGTCTTCCAAGAGCGCATTTTCCAGTCTGGCTGAGCCGGGCTCAATGTATGTTTTGGTCTGCGTGTTACTGATCTGAGTCACCGGAGCAGCGCTGGAGCTGCCGGCCTGCTGACGCTCCGAGCACGCACAGAGCCAGGGTAATTTTGATATATTGCTGAGACGCTGCAGCAAGCTCACTGCTCTGAGCCCCGGCTCTCCCTTAAAACTGAAATAAATTTTAAAAATCTGCTTTCTTATAATGAAGGCTTCTTGGATTTGTTTCTTCTCGCCCCTGGAAAATTAAGTAGATTTAAAAAAAAAAAAAAAGTCATCTTCAACCTGGGGGCTGAGAGGAAAACACATCCAGAGCACAGAAACCACCTCCCGAGAGCTGCACGTCCTGAGCAGGAGCACGGCAAACCCCGAGGAGCTACGGCGTGGGGGTCCCTGCCCAGGCTTTACAACCATCACCCCCAACGCTCCCGGACCCGCCTGGGGCTGGAACAGCAGCCTGGCGGGGTAGGTTTCCTTTGGGAAAGGTACTGGATGACGTGGAGCTGGGAAGCAGAAATTCAGCCCCCGTTTGGTATTTGGGTGATGCTTCAAGGCTACGGATTTCACAGGACCTGAGCCCGGCTGGGGCTACCAGGCGACCCTGGCTCCACTGGCCTGGAAATAGTCACCGAGGCAAATTAACACGAGCGGCCGAGACATCCGAGGGCAAACGAATCAGCGTGGCTGGCGCAAGAAGATGCCAACACACCAGCACTGCCGCAACGCCGTCTCAGGAGGACGGACTTTTTTTGGAGGAAACGTCCCCGTTTCTGTGCAGACGTGTCTCTTCGCCCCTAGCAAGCGCAAGGTCCCCTTGTCACCGCCTCGAAACCTTGGGACGCAAGAAGGGCAGAAACGTCGTGGGCCGGCTGCGCGGGACGCCTCGGAGCAGGCAGCACACCCAAGGGAGATAAGGCCGAGGGAGAGGAGCGAGAGGGCAGCGAGCACAAGGGAGGAGCGCAGGGGGCGAGAGCCTGGTGCAGAGGAGGAGATGGCGCAGGGCGACGCGGTGGGAGCGGCGGGGAAGCAAGCTGCTCCCGCAGGCAAGCGTTTTAATCCAGCGG